CAACAAACATGCAGGACACAGGTTTCTCTCTTATTTCTGATGAAACCTCAAATGTACAAGTTAGCATATACAACACAGTGAAGTTAGCAACTTATTGTTTTCTGGGCTTTAGAATTGAGGTGGGAAAACATACAGAAGTAATTTCTTTGCAAGGAGTTTTCAAATCATTTATTCTGAGGGGGAGGGAGGGATAACTTGGAGAGAGCAACAGAATGAGCTTCTTCACACACTAGCTTCATAACCCATTAAAAAGTGTTTTTCTACATCTCAGTTGGGAAACAGGCAATTCTCAACCTGGAGAGAAGCTCTCTAGTGAAGAGATTTAGCTTGCTGCAGAAGGCATGATGGCTCACTCTTATATTTTTCTGGTGTTTATTTTCAGTTGTCTCAGCACAGAATGTTCTCTCAGGCAAGGTCAGTTAAGAAACTCTGAAACACAAATACAATGGAGTTGGATCACAGGAGGAGAACTTGGTAAAATATATAGAAATGGTGGCTTCTGCTAGTAAATTATTTTGCTTCCTGCCAAATCTATGTCTCAGTTTTCTTCTCCAAGGCCCCTACTACCTTGGAGAAGCAAGAACAAAATATCAATTCAATGCATTAGTGCCCAGCATTCCCAGGGAGTTTCTGTGGGATTTCACACTGCCTTAAAAATGAGGACCTTATCTTACAACTTGAACATGATACCCCCAAGGTTGCTAATAAATACTTTATTATGAATCTTCATGTAGGAAAATGAGCACAAAATTAGGAATCCTTTTTACAAAATCTAATGTCTGACTCCAGAGTCTCATAACCAAAATGAAGTTTATTTTTCATTTCTCTGTAAGCTCTTAATATGCTTTGTTTAAAGCACTATCAAAACATAGGGGAACCCCAAAACTGAAACTTGGTTGATAAGCCAATAAAAGCATTAGTCACGTAGCTGAAAAAAATCAAGCTTTCATTGATGTTGGTTAAATTTAGACAGTCTCTAAAATTACTTGGTGCTAATGTAACGAGACTGTTCAGACATTTTATTCATAAAACCACAGTAAAACTTTTGATGTCCTGGCTCGTTTACTATGACAACTAAGAGCAAACCCTCGGATGCATTGTTGCCACATAGGGATTCACACAGGGTTTTGAAAACTGTGCTGTCCCTGGGTGCTGAGAGGCAGGCTAAGTTAATACCAAGAGCAGGCAGGAAAGGGACTGGAGCTCCAGAGGAGGCCAAGGAAGGGAGGGAGTGAGTGACCTATTTTATCCACAGTACCCAGCTGCACAGTCAGAAACAGACTGAATACCAAACCACGCTGGGCATGACGAATTTTCCACACACAAGTAATTTCCACACTCTAAATTCCTTTTCCACTGACTTCCCTTCTTCCCCCCCCCACCCCTTTTCTTTTTAAAGGATTTATTTATTTATGCATACAAGAGCTGGGGTATAGGCCAGAAGTGTGGGGGTGGTGAAAGGATTTGCCAGAGACAGAGTAGGGAGCAGAACAGACAGATCTACTGAAATACACTGCTGAGGGGAACTGCAAGCGAGAGGAGAGGTCTGCTGGGCCATGTGGGGCAGCTCCCTGGCCGGAGATCTAACTCAGGCCCAGCTCAGGTCCTAGCGGCTGGCAACTGCTTCATAGTGCTAAGATCACCCCTGTGCCACAAGGGAGGCCCTCCACTGATTTTCTTCCAAGTCAAGAAACCTCAAGAGAAACCCTGCCTGCTTCCCCACTTCATCTTCCCCAAGTCCCAGCACACGGCCTATAGCAGAGTAGGTGGGAAATAATCGCTTATGAAACTCTTCAACTGAGGTACCTCTAGAGTAAGACTAAGTGGTTTGTCTTTATACTCTCTCCACAATCAAAATCTCTGCTTAGGAAAGAACAATGACTTAGCATAATGTTTACTTCATGTAAAAGTAAAGCAATGAAGACAGGAGGCTTCATTCTCTACTAAAGGCATCTGAAATAGAGAGGGAAGGAAATTTAGAAAAAGCAGGAACATTTCTCCTCCAGAAGTTATGTCACGTTGGTGGTGACAGGCTTATCCTATAAACCCAACTGACAGATGGACAAGACAAAGACTAAAACAATGTATTCCCAATGTCTTCCCCTCCCTCAGCCTTCAAGGCAGGTAAAGTGACTTCCCCAGCAGGCTCTATGCCAGCTCAGTCACGTTCAACTGAATTGCCCCAAGACAAGACTGATGGAAAGTGGGTGACTTAGTGGCACGCTGGGTTTTTATTCCCACAACTGGACCCAGGCAAATATATTCATGTGTCATTTCCTGCCCAGTCACAAAACCCTGAAGTGACTTGCTTGATGAGAGGGGTTGAGGGGGGAATCCCAACTATCCCAAGCATGTTAACAGCAATCCTGATTCTCAGTCCTGGGAAACCATTCCCTGAGAACACAGCATGTGGGTCCCCACCTGCCCTGCTTCTGGTAGAACAATGTAAGGAGTGGTGATCACCCAACCGGGGATGCTAACTGGGTCTCACAGCTTAGGAAGCAGCCCAGCACCCAGGGCGAGGGCCAGGGCCACAGAACTGATGCTGACGCGTCACAGAGCTGCGAGCTGTGTCCTTGTTTGGAGGGGGGCTTTCAGTTCATAGCTGATAAAGCATATTTTATAAGCAGCCCCAGCTTAAGCAATTCATGGGGATGTCTATAATTACCTACCCTGAATTCTTTTCTTCATTGCTCTTAATTGGCTCATCCCCAAATAGAAGGTTCTGGATTAATTCTGTTAATCTTTTTCATTCAAAACAGTGGTGAATTATCTCCAGATCACTGATTGTATCAACAATAACACTTCCTTCACAGATTATAATACCAAACATGCTCTACATGTCCACTGCTTCAAAATTGTTTAGAGCCGAACAGTTTGCCAATGACCCACATTTTATCAAAAGGATTTACATCCGTGTGTATGTAACATTACTCGCATGTAATTCTCTAAAAAGAGAATTCCTACTTTATTTATTTATTATTATTATTTTTTTGCAAACAATTTTAGAGGCAGGGTGTTAAACTGATTGAAATTTCACAAGATTGACATTATTGCTTAAAGTGCTTGAATTGGTTACATTAAAGAAAAGTAAGGTACAGACTGCTTTAAATAAAAACAATTTTTTTCTTTCTTTTTTCTTTTTTTTTTTAGCAACAAAGTCAAATGAATGCCACACAAATACAGTAACTATTTTGGTTATACAGAAATGGAAGCCAAAAATAAATAAATGTAATACTGGAAAACAGAAATTTAATTAGGCAGGAAAGTAGGAATTAATTTTCCCTGACCCATGCCATTTACATGAGTTAATCACAATAGTGCTGATAAATGCCTTGACCATATAATAGCAAACGAGGGCAAAACATTTAATGCACAATATTTTAATACACATGAATATACAAAGTTGATCAGAATGCAATGTTTAAAGATAAAATCCATCTGTAATAAAGCTACACTCCAATATCTAAAATAAGCCCTAAGCTCCAGTTAGAACACAGTTCATTATTAGGCATGCCCATGAAATTAAGGGTACCCATGAAAATAAATGCATAGAGACCATTTCTATAACTTTATTCCTATTTCCTCTTATACCCAAAGTACTCCAGGTATGAAGCCAAGCATGACTGGTTTCCTATACAAAGCAACACCCTGTGTGTTGTTCCTTGGCTCCTTCAAACCAGCCCACTTTGTGCTGTCCCAAAGGAAACGCATCAACATAACAGACTGGATGTCCACATTTTGCTGAACTTACTTCAAAATATCTTTTTAGCATACTGTGTCATAACCTAGATGCTAAACTAGTAAGTAGCCGGTAAAGCAAATATTTCTCCTCTTTTTTAAGAGTGAAAGGCTAACTTAATTTAAAACATCCAGCAGTTAAAAGAACCCAACAGGTCTTCTCAGGCCTGCCAGAAAGCGACACACAATCACCCTGGCATTTGAGGGAATACTGCTGAGCCTTTGTGCTATTGCCGACCTCAGAAGGGTCTCACCTGTCTACACCTTCTCTGACTTTATCCAATGAATGAGGGATGAAAAATTAAAGTGTTTGCATGCTACTGTTATTACGTAAAGTAAAAAGACTGGGCGGGGAAAATGTAGCTGCCTAGTGTTCGTTTCATTGATTGGCAAGGAAGAGGGAAGAAGTCATGAAATAGTTCTAAAGTATAAAAACTTGGAGTGTTGGTGGATAAGTGCATTTTGTTCTTCCACCTTCCTTTCCTTGACCGCACAATCATTTTAATGACTTTGTATTATCTTCCATATTCCATACTTTCTGTTATTCTAAAAGTCTATCCATGAATACTGAATTATAACTCACCTTCTCTATTAAAAAAAGAATGAGTTCAGTTAAGTCACTGGGAAACACTCCTTACAGATTTTTTAAAAACCTAAAACACACAAAAAACCCCAAACCAAACAAAATGTACTGAATCTATGACTTAGCATTTAGATATTACTTCTATAAGCTTCCAATTGAAAATTTTTTTCTAATAAATTAGCTTCAAGAGTCATTTCAAAGATAATTTTAATAGTTTTTCTTATTAATCAGTTCCAAAATAAATTAGAGCTCAACCATCATTTCTTTAAACTTTGCAACCTGCTGCCAAACATATGGGTTGTATATTGTACACACAGTTCCCTGTATCAATTACCTTCGATCGGAAAGTGTTTCTCCTTAAAAACAGAGTAGACTCACCTTCCAGGTAAGTGATTACTGCATATGTCTTGTGGAAGGAAAAAAAGACAAAATATTTATACATATGAATTTGCCCCTAAAAACAAGGCAAGGTATAGTTTCATCATTTGTATAAAACAATAAGCTCACCCTGTTTTTGTCTTCTCCAGTGAAAAGTAAAACATTTCACTTCAAGCATGAACAAATGAGGTTTTGCATGCTTATTTCGTTCTGAGTGATAATCAGTTCAAGATATTTCAGAAAGATAAGAAATCCAGTTTTCATCTCGATAAAGTGCTATGCCTTAATTGTTGCAAAATGACCACTAACATTTTTAATTTCAATTTTAGTTCACATTATGCCAAAAGTTTGCATGTTTGTTCGCTGATTTTATTAGGTAACAAGATGATATGTTCACAGTATATTTATAGTGTGTGGAAGCCAGCTGACTTCCCGCAGGAAGCCAAGATCTCCAACTTGTATTTGCAGGAAACCAACAACCAGCTCAATGGCAAAACACCAAACTGACCCTTTTAATAAAAGGTCCCAATACTCAAGTGAGCTAATAAATACATATATAATAAAAGTGAAAAAGATAAAAGTAACTATGGTGAGATGAGGTTCTTCCATTTAAAAAACTCCCTCTCGTCAAGCATTCTAAGAGTCTGAGCCAAAGAAACGCTGCCCCTTTGTTCATTCCTCCACCTGCGCACGGACACTTTCTGTTCGCCACCTTCTTACCCAGATAATTCCAATATTCCCTCTGGGAAAGGTTCCACATCAGCTCTGGGATGTGCCAGCGCCTCAGTGAACAAACTGATAAGTTGACAAGTGAACAGTTGTACAATGCGGCTGATGGTGGCAAAGGCGCATCGCCTTCTTGTGCCTGATAAAGAAGGGTGTTGGTGCTGACCGTCTCAGGAGAGCTATGCCAGAGGTGGCCACGCGGTGTCCTGGGCCTGCAACCACAGACTGCCAAACACCAGCAGGACTGGAAAGACACCTTGGAAAGCTTAGCAGTGCCAGATAAAGGATAAATACAATTCACACCACCCTACTGAAGAAAAGTATCACTAAAAACAGCATAGTTATTTTCCTGAAACTTGGTTTTGGTAGAAAGGTAAGAAAAGTAACTTTTCACTGTCCACTAAAGCTTCCTCCCCTTGTCTGTGCCTGCCCTGAGTCTCACCCCTTCTCAGCCCCTGCAATTCTCATAGCCAGGAAGGCACAGCCTGCTGCAGACCACCAGCCACCATGAACAGCTTCTTTTCACTCTGCTCTGCATGGAGGGTGATTTTAGTATCGAGGTTACTCACGTTTAAACATTTTCACTTGCACAAACTTAAAGCTATAGTTGCAGCCCTAAAAGGTGAACATCTACCCAGTTCTTCCATCTTCCGGTCAGAAAGGAGGCAGGAAAGCTAAAAATGGGTAACAATGTTTCCAGGAACAAATTAAGGGAATGCATTGAAAGGAGGCTCAGGAAGCCGTTTAGGGAGTTTAGCAAAGACCAGAAAGAGACTGCAGACATTCCTAGGAAAAGTCATTCTGATTCAGCCAGACACAGCCAGTGGCACAGCATTTACCCAACCCTAGAATTAGCGACTGTTATTCATATAAACCTTACTACAATCTGATTGCAGTTAACTCTACCTCAGACTAAAATAAACCACAAGTAGTGCTGCATGTAGAAAAACAAAGGGAGACAGTCTAACACAGCCAGACCACTGGGACTCGGAGTAATACCGTTCGTGGGCCGCTGGGGAAGAAGGCAGTCTGCAGAGAAACCAGGTAACAGTGCTTTGAACATTTCCCCCACTTGAATTAGTCCCACAAGTTCTTTAAGTTATTCTCTTGACTGATAGAATAAAATATATCCAGATTCTGAATTTTTTGATATATCTGATGTCAGGCCATAGAATTCTTCAATAGCTTGGGCATCTATTTTCTGCAAAAAAAGAGAAAGAACATAATTGTTTAACATGATTACAGGGAGAAGGGAAGAAAAACTAACAGTACACATGAAAATGCAGTTATAAAAACACTGTCATACAACCACGATTGGTGATTTTCTACAGACCTGACAGAAGGATATCATTATTATATAAATTGCCAATCACTAGGGAAGAAAGAAATCTATTAGCAACCATTCGTGATCCTTCTTTGAAGAAGGATCCTTCTTTTCATCTCTCGAATGGCAATTTGGGGGGGTCTTGGGATAATCTTGGTTCATTGGGACCAGCTGTGCACTTGCAGAGTTCACTCCCTAGAGTGTTATCCTTGTGAGCTAAAATAAACCAAGTTACTGAGTACAGATTTCATTTTAGCTAATATTACTCTACAATAAAATCAACACATAGACTGTTCTAATGTAATATAAAGATTTTCAGATCCAACAGACTAAACGACGTGTTTTTAAAAACTAATCAATATGAGAAAATTTTGGTATAAAGAAAGAATCCTATTACGACATTGATGTTTATTTGGTCTCTTCCAGAAAAGCCGTGCTAGGAAGCAGAATTGACATTAAATAGGACTTATGGTGACACAGAGAGCCCATGTCTACGGCTCATCAGTGAGCTTAATAAGTCCACATCACATCCGCCTCCCTTGTCAGGGGAAATGCAGAATTTCATTTTGGAGGAAATATAAGTCATTTTTTAACCCAGACTGTGGGAGAAAGGGCCTGTTTTAGGAAATGTTCATGTGTTTGTGTGCGCACACACACACACACACACCCCAACTGTGCCCTAACCCCACCCTAGAATAATCTGTATACCAACCTCTACAATGTCATCATCAAACAAAAGCCAGAAGCCATGACTTTTCACAATAGTAATATAATGCCCACGATTAGGACCACTGGAAAAGAACAAACAAAACAAAGTCACCAAGTTAACATTCAGTTCTTTATAAGCCTCCACAATGATTCATTTGGAAAAACTACTGGGAGAAAACGCTCCTAGCTTGTGTGTCCTAGCTTGTGTGTCCACACTGGTCGGCCACAGGCCGCAGAGGAACACGCCCTGCGCTGGGCGTGAGGGTGAGTGAGACAGCGGTCTGCTGTGGACTTATAATCCAGGGGGTGGCAACAGACATACAAGCTCGGCGAACAGCAATAAATAATCACCGCTCGCTGCTCTGTGCTAGACCCTATTCCGCTGTCAGAAAGCAGAGAACAAAACCAAGTCCCCACTTACACGGGCCTGGGGTCAGATAGGCAGTAACTGACTGAAACAGAAATATTGTTCAGGCAGTGCAGAGCGCCACGAAGAAGCAAGCAGCGTCGTGCACTGCGTGATGGGGGAACGGGCTCTTCCACAGTGGCGAGAGGCCTGTCTGATCACCTGGGGGGGGGGCCCACGTGACTCCGCGCGGGAAGTCTCAGGAACGGGCAGCAAATGCAGATCTGCCGCAGACAGTGGGGTGGACGGAGCCTTATGTGCTCGCTAAACTCCAAGCGCCTGGTGAGTTAGGGGGCTAGGCCAGGAGGAGGGGGGAACTAGGGTGTCATGGTTAAAATTTTAAACTTTTCGGAAGCCAGAGAGACTCTGAGGAATTTTAAAGAGCAACTGATGTGATCTAAGGTTCAGGAAGCTGTTAACCCCTAGTGCACAATGTCAAGTGCTGAAATAAAGGCAGATATTCTTCAGTGTGGGAACAGGAAGTAGCTGCCATTACTGCAGTTACATCTGTACAGCTGAGAGAGTTCATCCTAAACCTAGAGACTTGTTCTGTAACTTTTAATGTACCACTAAGACTGCCAGGCTGGATTTCTCAGTTTGCTTTGCTCAATCGCGGATGCCCCACGCCCCCTGTCGCTGCCGGTCGGCAACCTCACCCAGCCGCACTGCTCAGCCCTCCCTCCCTGCTCAGCTCAAGTCTCCCCTCTGCACACACATCGCCCTTTGCATCGTGGGTCTCTGCAACTCGGCCCCCAGCTGCCCCTGCCCCAAAGTCCGCTTTCTTGGCCCACTGCATCCTTAGGTTCCGGCTCAAAATGTCGCCTCAGTAGATAACGCCGTTGTGGCTCAGCTTGCCTGACGATGTACCACTCCCAGCGCTGCCTCATTCATCTCCCTGTTCCTGCCTAATAGCACTAATGAAATCCTAGCTTATTTTGCCGTGTTTGTGTGTTCTGGGTGGTGACTGGCTGGTGTGTTCACTTGTCCGGGTCTTGCCCTAGATCTCAGTTTCTAGACGGCAGGCGCCGCATGCCTTGGTCACTACTGGACCCTCAGGTGGTAGATGGAGCCCAGGAAACAAGAGTTCAAAAAGCACCTGTCATGGAAATCGATGACTGAGGCAGTACACCCACACTGCAGTCATGGGCTGGAGGGGATATGGAACAAAGAACTTGCTCAAAGGATTTTCTGCGAAATGCTTCTTCCTATCTGTCTTCGCTCTTTCTCTAATTGTGCGCTTACAATAGCGTGTTGGGGAAAGATGGAAAATTACATAAAGAATATCTTAGAGCAGATTTTTCATCACTCAAAATGCCAAAAAATTTCAACTTACCTACAATTTTTTTCTCTTAAAATATTTTGGACATTGCACTATTATTTGTAACCTAGCTTTTGAAAAAGTAAAACCATATAGCATCAGCAGTTAATTCTCCATGCCACTTTAAATTCCTCCTAGGCATCATCTCTAACCAATGAAGAGTTACGCGTGGAGGTAGGCATGTTTGCATTTGCTTTTGACAGGATGCATAAAAAAGAGCAGCGTCATGGAGACGTCCACAGTCACTGTTATTACAGAGCTCGGGGCCCAGAAGCGAACACTGGGTCCTTCGGAGCGGAGCGGGGGGTGGGGGGGGTGGGGGGGGCACTTCCCCGCCTCTCCTGCGACCCACCCACCCTCACCTGCCGCAGTGCACCACCACCGCCACGAGGTCGTACATGCGGTCCAGGTTCACCGCGTCGCTGGAGGTGTTGAAGAGCCGGAGTTCCAGCGGGAAGACCACTCGGTACGAGAGCTTGGTGTACCTGTGGAGCTGCTCCATGTACTTGAACCGCTTCAGGTGCAGGGCCAGAATCATGGGCAGCTTTTTCACTCTCATCCTAAGGAGCCATGAAATAGAAAATCAGTTGTACCCAACACTGTGAGAGCACTACTGCCTGCAGGAGAGCAGGAGGAGTCTAACAAAGTTCCAGCCAACAGATAAACCACCACTCTTGAGAAAATAGTGGGTTCACTTACTTAACGCTGACTTACCACGTATCTTCAGCTAGCTGGAGCATGTTGGCCAAAGACAAATGTAACGGCAAGTCTCTGGTCAAAGCAGACATCCCAGAGTTTCTGTGCCAATAAAAAGATGCCATACGAGTGCTCCCTGCCATGCCCTCTGCCTCCCAAGAAGGAATGCTGTTTGGCAATCCCCCAAAGGAGAAGAGAGGTGGCAGCCTTTGAGAAAAGAAGTTGAAAGAACAGCAGGTGGGACGTGGACCCGCGGGGGTCTGAGCACCAGTGAGGATGTTCAGACAAGGCTGTGCTGGCTCTCGGGAAGGGCCTGTCCCTCACGCCCTGCTCGTGTGCTTTTGGGCATGTCATTTCCTCATTTAAAAAATGCAGGGCTTAGCTTGGGGATACATAACCAAACTGGGGTCAGTGGAGCACTGGATGTGTTACTAGGGGAGGGGTTTCTGTGGCTGTGTTGACAACACTACATTGTATTCTGAAGCTCCTCAATGCACATTAGCATAGTGATTTGAGAAATCCCACAGTAAGGGAAGTATTCTCTTTTGCTTGATGCAGCTTTTCCCAAACTTACATCAACACAGAAAGCTCTATTCACTAGATGACCATTAATGGGCCTCCATAAGAAGCCACCAGGGCTACAGGTCATGTGGACATCTCTGCTCGAATAGAGGGTCTCCAGTTACCATCCAGGACCCCCATTTTATGAACGTCTTACATGTCCTTTGAGGATCAATGCTGCTTGCTTGTCTACATTCTCTGTGGACATTATTTGAAAAGAACAACATTTAAGAGAGCATTATTCCAAAATCTGAGGTAAAACCCCATTCATAAAAACAAGCAAAACAACATCAGCAGAAATATAAGGCTCGGGGGGCACCCTCAACGCTAAAGGAACACACTACATCCGATACATGAGATCACCCAGGCTTTTTACTGTAATAAACACCTCGGGCCACACAGGGAGACTGTGCTGTCCTTTGGTGGACTTAGGTTGTAAGGGCTGGAGGCACAGGCCACTCTCACTCCCACACCTGCCTCCTACAGTGACTAACCTTTTGTGAGTTTTGATGCAGCAGGGAGGAAAGTGCATGCCTCTCCCCAAGTGAGAGGCTGGGCAGAGAAATGGTATCAGCTCAAATGCAGACGCCTGAGGCTGCAGGTGGCAGTAATGAGTGCCTGTGAGTTACCTTGGATGAGCCGTAACTGTGGGCAGGGTGAATTTAACTCAGAAGGCTGCACTGAGATGGAAGTATGGAGTTTCCTAGTTTCTGGGCTTGGGAGAATCACTGGATATCTCCACGAGTCCAGGAGCTGTCAATGGTTGGTGCTGATAAAAAGAAACCTTGGGCCCCATCACAATTCAGAATGTGATGACTTTCTTATTATTTATCCATGTACCAATATGTTACTGATTTTCTCATGATTCCTTATGAAATCATGAACATTTTAAACTTCTAAGTCTCCAGAGAAGAAGTTCCAATACTCAGGCAGTACTTATAATATTACTGGCTGTCTGCTATGTGTTATGTATTATGCTAAAGCCTTTTTGTAGTTTGTCTTGAAATCCCAAACGGACAGCAATTATATTTGATAACTACTTGTTCCTAGAATAGTATCTGGTATAGAGTTAACATTCATAAGTGCTTGTGGAATGAATGAATGAGCAAATGACATATAATCAAACAAAGGGACAACTCCCCTCGTTTTACCTTGAGGAAGGTACCTGTCTTCCCCAAAATGACTTCCCAGACACCGCTACAGGCACATGGACATGGGATTCAAAGTTAGGTCTGTCCCACCTACTAGCTGGGGACCATTTTTGCACATCATAATCTGACGAGGGGTTAATATCCAACATATCTAAATAACGAAAACTCAGCAAAAACCAGCCCCATGAAAAATGGGCCGGCGCTCTGCACAGATACTTTCTCCAAAGAAGACATACAGATGACCAAAGACACATGGAAAGTTGTTCATCGCCTCTTATTATTAAGAAGATGCAAAGTGAAACCCCAGAGATGTCACCTCATGAAAACAGTTTCTTGGTTTCTGGGCGTGGATAATAGGGAATCAATGGCTATCTCTGAGACTCCAAGAGCTGTAAATGGCAGGTGCTGATAGAAAGTGAACTTGGACTCCATCCCAAAAGGATAAAAGACAAGGAGCAAGGGTTGGAGAGGATGTGGGGAGAAGGGGTTTCTCGTGCACTGTTGGTGGGAATGGGGACTAGGGCCATCACAGTGGAAGGCAGTGTGGAAACTCCGCAACAAATTAAAAATAGAAATTCCTACAAGCCACTGGCCCACCTCTGGGTACCCAATGAAAAATACAAGCATACTAGTTTGAAGAGATCTATGTATGCCCAAGTTGACTGCAGTACTACTTAAAATAACCCAGAACTAGAAATAACTTAAGTACCCACGGGTTGATGAATGGATAAAGACGAGGTGGTATGTGGGATATACACAAGTGGATTACGACTCAGCTCTATATAAAGAGTGAGGGTGAAAGCTGCCACTTGTAAGAATATGGATGGGCCTAGACGGTATCATGCTTGGTGAAATGAATCACACAGAGACAGACAAGCACCCTATGAGGTCACTCCTCTGTGGTGTATAGAGAAACCAAAAGAAATCACCTTTTTGGCTTTAAGACCAAATCAGGGGGTGGCTTGGGTAAGTCAGGTAAAAGGGGTCAATTGTATGGTGAAGGGCAGAACTGAACTCTAATGGTGAATTTAGTACAGTTCACAAAGTGCTGACAGAGTGAGGCATATCTGAAACTGACATAATGCTATAATACAAAGTCACTTGAATAAAAAAATAATTTTATCATTAAAAATAAATGGAGTGGGCTCTCCGTGGTGGCGCAGCAGGTGAAAGCACAGCACTACGAAGCTAAAGCCACTTCAGCCTGTGTTGATCCCCGCCCCAGAGGTGGCCCACATGGCGCGGCAGACCTCTCCTGACCCGCCCGCTGCTCCCCTCAGCGGTGCGCTTCCTTGATCTGCCTGTTCTGCTCCCCGCTGTCTCTGGTGAATCCTCTCACCGCCCCTGCACCTCTGGCCTGTACCCCAGCTCTGTATGCATAAATAAAGAAATCTTGAAAATCAAAAAATAAATAAGAGTGAATTTAAAAAACAAACATGTGCCGGGCACTAAGGCATATGTTGTTTCTCAACATACAAAGCCAGATGAGCCTTTACGCACCTTTTCTGGGCCTCCTGTTTGCTGCAGCAGGTTTCACAATAATATTTCTGTTCACTACACAGAGTTTCTGTGTTGCTGAAGTCTCTGCAGAGGAAAAGATTTTCATCTTTTAAAAAGTTCGAAATATACTTGATATACCCTACTTGAAAGCCTCTGTTACCTGCAGGCTCACTTCTAGCACTGCGGGGAAAGAGGGAATGAGAAAAGGTCCGTCTTAGGAGTGGGGCAGGGCCCTGACAGCACTTCTACTGACTGGGCTGTGATTTCACCACAAGAGATTTCAAGTGTGGTTTTATTTAAGGGGGCACAAGTAAATAAGAAATCAGGGTTCCCAAAGGCTTCAGGAAAAGCTCGGAGTTTGACAGTGGATACCAGTAAGGTGAAGACTGAAAATGATGTGAGCAAATACTAACAACAGCAAAAAAGAAAAACTCACCACGACACTATGAAAGTTGGGGCCGAAAAAGGCAACCACGGAAAACGCAAGGTGACATTATTGCACATTTAGCGAAAAACAGTACGTCCCAGGTAGACTGGCTTTTCAAAGAGCACAAAAATAAAAGACGGTAAGGTTGAAAACAGCTACAACGGCTCTTCCAGCAAACTAAGAGTCCCGGGTGAGCAAAGCATGACTGCTTCCTACCAAGCGCCCGCTCCCGCCCCTCACACCCACAAGCTAAGAACCCTGACTCAAATGCCACTGTGTCCTGTCCGTATTCACCTATCGTGATGTTTTACTGTACTGCTTATAGTTTTCATTTTTTAAATGTCACGGCTTTTCATTCTTTTCTGGTCATTGAGATTCTGCTTAACATTCCTGTGGCTTTGCTTCCCAGGCTGAAAAGAACATCCAGAATATAATAATACCCTCAGAGTCTTGAAAACGCCTGTGACATTTCCTTCTTCACAAGGAGTGTCCTAACACCAAAATGATCAGATTTTGTGAAATGGAAAATGTTATATACATAGCGTTAGAGACTCAACCGCTTCACCAGAGCTTTTCCAAAGGAAACGCAGACTGTTCTCTCATTAACTCCCCAAGCATTTAGGGGCGCACTCTGGACAGGGTGCTGGATTTGCAGTGCACATGCGCTCCTGTGGCCCCGAGAGACACACACATGAGTTCACAGCATCAAGTGCTCGGTGCAGGGGAAACAAACTGTTTCACACAAACAGTTACAGTGCACTGAAGCCTCAAACCCCAATGCCAGCCGGGGCCGCCAGACCTGAGGCCAGTTGCACCCTTCCAGCCCCCTCCTCCCACCCGCTGCCCTCACCTGCCCCAGCAGCCTCGCTCCCCACACCCCTCCCTGAAGAAAACAGGTCTGCTGTTTTCTTCACACTGGCAGCTCCTTTCCAGAAGCCTCCATGGCTGGCCACCTGTTCAGAGCTCAGCCTAAAGGTCATCTCTACAGAGGGCTTCCCTGGTCACTCTCGCAAGCCCACCCAGCCCCTCTCCATACCTGTGACTCGTTTTCTTCTGAGCACTTACTCCTAACGGAAACCGCCCTGCTTACCGGCACTCTCACCTCCCCTGCACACAGCCGAGATCGCCTGTCTCACTCACTGCTGTGCCCAGCACGAGGACAGGCCCGACGGCGGCACTGTCACCCTCACTGTGCAAACAAACGGAGACAGAGCGTGTGTGTAAAGTCCAGGGGAAGCCAAGAGGGAAAATGGACCCGGACAGGGTAACTCGAGCACGCCGGTGGGTGAGAGTCAGGGGCTCCAGGTGGGGATGTGAGGGCGGGCAGAGCTGTTCCCGAGATGCTGGCTCAGACCTGAGCTCGCCAGACAACCTCCAGACAGTGCTTTCCGAAATGCCTCTTCTGGCGGCACCGGAGAAAGACGAGGGGGCCACGAGAAGGCAAGGCAACTGCTGAGAGGCGACGCACCAGCTGCAGGTTTCAAGTACCGAGCACATCATCGAGCACATCACCCGGCCCCACGGCAGCCGAGGGCTGGCTGGCACGTCACTGAGTGACTGGTGTGACATCCGGTCTGGGCCTGCACAGGAGTATTCAGGCGGAATGGGAAACTGAAAACAGGGAGATGAGCCTGGGGCATGCAGAGATTCACATCCTGGGTAAGGCCACCCAGAAAACCTCTTTGTACTGCGAAAGTCAGAACAACTAAGGCAAACACAGCAGTGAAGAAGGAACTGAATGTTTTCTATTCATACTTATTTAGCAAAAAATTTTCAATTATTTGTAAACCTAAATAGGTAGAAAAATATTAGACATTAGTGCCTAAATTAAAGAACTTGGGCCTCCCAGTGGCTCAAAGGGTTAAGTCTCAGCACTTTGAAGCTGTGAGCACCGCTGCAGCATGAGTTCAATCCCTGCCCCGGAGGTGACCCACATGGCACAGCAGACTTCTCCCATCTCACCCGCTGCTCCCCTCAGCAGTGTACTTCATCGATCTGCCTGTTCTGTTCCCCACTCTGTCCCTGGTGAAGCCTCTCACCGCCCCTGCACCTCTAGTCTGTACCCTAGTTCTGTATGCATAAATAAATAAATACATCTTTAAAAAATAAGTGAAGAGCCAACTTACAAGTAACCACTGGCTGGAAGACACCACCAGGAGAGGTGGGGCAGTGAATCGGGGTGTCCGTGAGTGGAGATTCAGGGAAGAGACTTCAGAAAATGCCAGACTACATTTGGCAAAGGCGGTGGGGGGACCCCAGCAGGAAAGGATGAGGGAGAGCAGGACTGCCAGTCGAGCTGTACGGTGGCCGGAACCGCAGCAGACCGCAGGGTGGTCTGCCTTTCTCAAAGCGAGAAAGGGCCAAGGGTCACAGAGGAGTCTACAACACCCGGGACTAACGGCGCGCGCAAAGCGGCCGTGGGGAAGCACAAAGCTCTCTGCAGCAATTTAAGCTACAACAGTACAGACAGAGGATGGAGGAGGTCTCTAAAGAAACACCTGCCTTTACAAGAGAAACCATCAAACTTTATGGAAATTTATACGAGACTGAGAAAGTGGAGAAAACACTATGTGCCTGAAGGGAAGGCTACCTACGGTACAGCTATCATGTCCAAGTTAGGTAATGCCCCTATCTGACACACTTTTAATTAAAATCTTCACTTTTTCATTCAACACAATAATTCAAAAATGATTGGGGGAAAATGCTCATGTAATGCTTTCTGGTCGTTTTCATGTTAAGGCTCACATAGAAAATGACTCCACGACCTCCATGGTGGCACAAGAGATTAAAGTCTCGGCACTGTGGAGCTCGCTGCAGCCACTGCAGCATGAGTTGGATCCCCGCCCGCCCCGGAGCTGCCCCACATGGCGGCAGCCCTCTCTTGTCTCGCCCCCTGCTCCCCTCAGCAGTGTCTTGCAGTAGATGCACCTGCTCCCCGCTATGATGAATCCTCCTAACCACTCCCCTGCACCGCTGACCTGTACCCCAGCTCTTGTATGCATAAAGAAAGAAATCTTTATTTTTAAAAAAAAAATAATAATAAAGACTCCAGGTGAGAAGAGGGGGTGTGTAACCAATGCGGCTGCACCTATGGGAGCCATGGCTGGCAGCTTGAGGCTCTCACCAGCCTCCCAGGAGCGGAGAACTCAGCACACACCTGTAACCTACTTTACCTGGCACAACAACAACTGGGTCACTTTCTTCTAGAATCCTGTGTTCACTGAAATTACCTGGGAAGCTTTAGAAGCTTTAAAAACAATCTCAGCGCTTAATCCTCCACTAGTCAATTACAGTGCACGCTCTCCAGGCACTGCTGTGAGAGAGGACAGCTCCCTCTCACTGCCAGGGCTGACGCAGCAGTCCCCACGGCTTGGCGATCACTGACAAACATGCCTTTGAATCACCTGGAGCTCCGTTCAACTGCAGGTTCTTACTGATTCATTCTGGGGAGTCTGCATTTCTAGTTAGAAAAGGTGCTAGCCCTTAGATGGCTGTTTGAGTACAAAAATCTAAAAAGTGATGCTCAAACTTTGCTGGTTATCAGAATCATCCAGAAAAATTTAAGTGGGAAGTCTGAGCCGACTGAGTATGAGTATGACATGGGCCTCTATTTCTGCCTGCCTCCCTGGTGATTCAGATTCACAGCAAAGTCTGTCTTACTAAAGATTTTTAAAAGGAAATTCACAAGATAGACATAAGTGTCAGATACTGGAAAGTCTGAATATCAATCATACCAAAACAAAGGTCAGAGAAAATAATATACAGGCAGGGGACAATGGGTGGGTGCGAGTGGACTTAGTCCAGTGAAGTAGAAGAGGAATTTTGTTTTAAAAGAGGAATTTTGAAAATAGAGGTTTTGGAGAATGAAAAGAGCACTTTCCTCCTAACACTGAGCTGACTGCCTCAGCGCTAGGGAAAGGAATTTACACCAAAGGAAGGCAGAGGGAGGGAGAAGTGGTTTCAGAGCACGGAGCCCTAGAGGATAAAGGTAAGTGTCAGGGAGGGAGGCTGGGGAGGGATGAGGCAGTAGAGTGGAAGACAAAGGCACAAAAAGGCCTTGGGAGGATAATTAAGAGAAAGTTCATGGATTTTAAAGTTTTGCCTCAGGCCACCTTTGAACCTTTCACAAAGGAAAAAAAAAAAAAAGCATTGTCAGCATCGGCTTGTGACACAGATGGCTTCCCTCACCCTGCTGAAGACACCTGCTCAGGTGTGGGTATCAAGTCACAGCCCAGCTGCAATGTGGGTTTAATGGCTCTAGACTGTATCACGTTTAACCACTACTATTTCATCATTTCTCTGGGGCAAAAATTCAGCAAAACTACAGTGGAACTGATCACCAAAAGCCCTTCTCGGTGGAGATGACTAAAATCTTAGGTACAAATTAGCTTGATTTTTATCTTCAAAGTAAGTGAAACTGAAAAACATCCCACCAGAAGAGATATGTAAGGACCTGATGTTAAGGAAGGAAATTCATGATTCTAATTTTAAAAACAAACCCAAGAATGTGAGCAAAATGAAGCCATGAAAGGAGACAAGAAAGATCCTGATCACTCCTCCTCTTTTGTCTCAGAGAGGAAAAGCTAATGAACCGGCTGGCATCATGTATTCCCTGGGCCTTTCTCCGCACTTCCTTCTTTTGGGGCAAGCTGGAAAGCTGCCACCTCAGCATAGAATTCTCCGGAGTGACTGACAACACGTGGCAGGCTTTGCTTTCTGTCGGAGGTGAGACCCCAGGCATGTGTGAGGGAGGGGAGAGCTAGGCAGTCCTGGTCTCCTTCAGGAGTGATGTAAAATGGGGGTGGGGTAGTCTTAGGCACACCAGCCTCCATGGTGCACTTAGACCAGAAGCTCCTGTTCAGAAGACCCTCTGAGGCTCTTTCACACCCTCCCAGCCCAGTTCTGGTATTTCCTTATGCCACAAGCCTGACTTCAACAAGCGCATGGCCTATGTTCCTACACCGAAGGTATAGAGAAAACACACAATTTGTCCAGGGGGAAAAAAAAAAGGAAACATAAGTGTCTTTATAATAAGGTTCTCCAAACTAACCAGGTTAGTTTCAAGTTCCAGATACTGTCATCTGCCCTAACAGCACAGAAATTCCCTGGAAGGGAAAAGAAGGCGCTCAACCTCCTAACTGAGTCCTTCTAACTCCCTCACTCAGAGAAGGGGAGTGGCGTGGAGTACCTTCTTTTCGTCCTCAGTGCCTGATGTTGGCACAATCAACCCTGCAATCAGAAAAGGAACAGAACTGGCTCTTCTTTTCACAAGAATATTAAGAACCCATGCCATAAACTGAACTATTCAAAGCAAAAGGGGCCAGCGGGCCTACAAAAACAATTTGCAAACAAAGACATAAGCGGCTGTCCTAGACACCTGGGCCTAATGCATCTGGGGATAGGACTGACATGCTTCTCACAGGAAGTGCTGAAGTAACTATGGTGTGAGAGGAGGGGCCCTGACTCCTGGAGGACACTGGAGCAGTCAGCCCCCTGCCCCTGGCTCACACACACATCACGCACAGATGAACCAGGCAGCCCTCAATGCTGGAGTCAGGGCCTCTGCCCTGAAGATAGTTCCCTAGCAGTCAGGAACCACAGTAGGCCCTTTAATTTATTCTTCTAAAAGGTGCTCAGTAACATGAATTTCTGAAGGACAATTCTGTCACCCTGATTCTGACTGCTAAAACTCAACAGTGCCTTATTACGGCCCTGTAAAACGTCTCTGAGCTGGGGTAGCCTACACAATAGCGGGGAACCCGACTACTTACTTGACTGTAACAGCATCCCACAATGAGCACTCTCTAGACCTGTTCACTGTCCTTGCAAGCACTGATCACTGCCACCATTCTCACTAGAATGTTAAGTGCTAAGAGAGCAGAGGAATGTCTGGTGCTCATGCCTTCACCCCAGAGCAGGGTCCAGTACAGGGCTGGGCCAACTAAGAAGCACTCCTGACCTCCTGGTGAGAGAACGGAGCAGGGGGAAGGAGAACCATGTCTCCATGGCAACTTGGAACACATCTCACTACACAGGCCACCTTTCATTGAACATCGGGTCAAAACTGCCTAATTTTTTAAATAATAGATTAGTTTAGAAAATGAAAGTGCTGGTACGTATCTGCAGCATTTACTCACTTAACTTATATGCTTGTTATGTACGTGTCCTACGCACACACACAGTTGGAGGTTTGACGAACGCTCACAAAAGCAAGAGCATATATTTATATGAAAGATTAAAAACTTATTTTTAAACTTAGTAACTAATGACTTCTTCTCCAGACCACATCTACTTATTTTAATCTCTCTTGGGAAAGAAGAATAGATTAATAGGATTACCTTGGTTTAACAGAAAGGGAAATTATCTCCTGAGGAAATACAGGATTTTTAATTTTTTCCCCATGTATTTCCTAGCCTGATCCAAAGTTCAGGCCAGTCAGAATTTACTAGGTTACCTTAGACAGTGAGTAATAGATGTATTCTGCTCCACATCGACAGAAAGGTCGAGAAAATCTTCATCTTTGCTACTAACCTGAAGCAAAAAAAAAAAAAAAAAAAGAAGAAGAAAAGAAAGCATTTGGCACAAAATACTCAACAGACAAAGCAGATAAAACTCAGAATATTTATAAGTAACCCAAAACTGTAACTACGGTAAACATCACACGTGGTTTTAGCCTGCTCGCCCACAGTGAGAGCCGCCTGAAAAAAAAGCCCAATCCAGAAGAAATCCCAAGTTCTCGGTTTAGCCTTCTCTTCATTCCTGCTTTGGTTCAGAACTTTCAATAATTAAAACTCAACCTGATCTCTTCCTCCCGGCTCATCTCCCCACTGAGGCTAAGCAGGAAGCACTGACAGACACCAAAGAGTTCACGGTGGCAGATGATAAAAATGGAAATGGAAAAACAAGAGACTTAGAGCGCCTCCTGCTCAGATTCTCACCTCTCCGCTAAGCGGTTGGTGCTTTCTGCCAGTGCCCTGGCACCAGGCCCTCCCTCACACGTGTCAGTATTCACACTGAGTGCAGGTGGCTGCGAGCCACACTGGCCACACCCAGGCAGCCCCTGTGCTGTCTGCAGCCTCGGCTCACACCGTCGGCCACGCCCCGGCTCCTTCTCAGCCCTCCACAGCTCACCAAAGCTGAGACTGCAAAAAGTCTACTGGCAAGCCTGAGGTTTCGCCGCCTAGGACTGAAAGGGACAAAGTAGCCCAGCAACAACTCCACAGGCAGCAGAAGGGCACAGACACTCCTCAAGTATGACAGCTGCCCTCGGACCAGGACCCCATTGCTAGGAAATTCTCTCAAGGGACAGCCAAAGATGTGGACACGATCATTTTACTTCTATGACCAGGCACAGAACAGGCATACCCAGCCTCTGCTGCTTATAAAGCAGATGGCTTCAGACCAATTACTTAGCCTCTCTGAACCTCGGTTTCATCTGTGAGTTAGGCAAAGTGACAGTATCTATTTCATAAAGTTGATGAAACGATGCAAAGTGCTTTCAGATATAAGCACTCAATATACTGTGGACAGGTGAAAAAATTTAAGTGACCTAACGTAGCTAAAAAGCTGGGATGGCTTTACTACACTGTAGGCATGACAGCAAATGAAAAGCAGGCAGTACAATCATGTAGCTGTGAAGATCTGACGGGTTAAGTTCAAGCGTGTGTAAGAGGGCATGTATACATTCATATACACAGGTAACACAGCCTTATCTCTATTATCAGTTTGAATTTTCTAATCACACTTGTTTCACCTTTTTGCAGCTATGGTAGAGTGCATGAAAGACCTGTCTGTGCTCGCTTCGTTGACAGACTAACTTCAGGGGCCAACAGGCCTGCTTCCCACCCCTGACTGAGTTCAGCCATGTGAATTGGTCTGGCCAGTGCTATCACTTGCTGGAATAGGAGCTATCTTATAAACTGAGGCTTGAACAAGCGCTTGTGAAATGGCTTTCTTGCATGTCTGTCACTGCCATGAGAAACAGAAGCCCACACTAGCCCACTGTTTCTGGCAAAAAGCTAAGAGTCCCATGCAGCAAAGCTTCTCCAAGGTGCCCCAGCCAAGCCCAGTGCTGTCTGCTTATATCTTCTGCTGACCCCTGAGTGGTACAGACATAGAGAACACGAGTGGCAACTCAGCTGGACATGAATGGGCTGACCCAAGACTCAAGCTGCTGCCAAAGAAAGATATTAGTTTGAGTTCAACCAAGTTACGCACCTTCTGAAACTAAAGAAATTCAATACTCATTAAAGATAAATAACAGCCTCTGAAACTTAACATTCTCAATGTCCTTGATAGGATCCAAACTTACACGACATGAAGAACTGAGAAAATGGAAGACATTTTAAAATAAAACAACTGAGACGAATCCTGGGATGACCAGGTATTAGAGTCATCAGATGAAAATTTAAAGGAAGCTATTAAAACTATCTTCAGTAAAGTAAAATATACTCACAATGAATCAAAAGATAAAATATATAAAATCTCAGCAGAGGAAGCTAAACTATAAAAATGGATCAAGCCAGAATTCCAGAATTGGAAAATTAATAAACTGGGTGGACTTAAGAAGTGGAAATGACAGAGGGAAGAACAAGAGAAATTTGAAGCCAAATCAATGAAAATTACCCAGTGAGAAAAATATAGGGGAAAAAAAAAAGAGATTGAAATAAAAATTAACAGATTCTTAGAGACCTGTCAGAAAAATTCTCAGGGACACATTATATAATATTGTACACATAACAGGAGCCCTAGGAGAAAGAATAGGACAGAAAAACTATCTGAAAAATCATGACTGAATATAACCTAATTTTGAGAAAGACATTCAAGCAAGATTAATACAAAGACCAGCCAAGGCACATCATAGACAAACTGTTGAAAACCAAAGGTAAAAAAGTAAATCTTAACAGCTAAAGAAAAATGGCACATTACACACACACGGATGATTCAGCCGGAAGCTAACCTCTCAGCAGGAGCTATGGAGGTTAGAAGACAGTGGGATGATCTTTCATGTGCTGAAAAAAGACGACTAATGCATTATTCTTATATTCCATAAATAAATCCTTCAAGAATAAAGGCAAAATGAAGCTTCTTTATAATCAGATCTACACACAAGAGGTTAAAGGAAATGATACCAAATGGCAATTCAGGTCCTCAAGAAAAAAGAAAAGCATCAAGAATGTAGTAGCGGCATGTGACTGGTGGCATTTACAATAAATGTGCGTATACAACACACGAGGTGGGTGGTCGTGAAGGAACATGCACCCATACAGATTTAAGTTTTCTGTTTTCTGTGAAACGCAAAATTATCAATCGTAAGCAGCCTGAGAAAAGTAGAGAATATATATGGTCATCTCTAGAGCAACCGCTAAAACACACACACAAAGGTATACTTTAAGAGGAAAATTAAAATGGAGTTGTAAAAACACATGTATTTATATATATTTCACTGCTCCCCCAACCATAAAAAGCAGGTAAACAAAACACTAACAGGGGAAGTAAAAAGAAAACAAATAAAATGGGAGCCCCAGATACAAATATTTCAATAATTACATTATGCATAAATATAACAAATGTTTCAAGAAAAAACAAATTGCAAAATAGATTAATTTAAAAAATTTATATGTTGCTCACAGAAGCTATGCTTTAATACAAAGACAGAGCATGAAAATAAGTGAATGGAAACAGATACACGATGCAAAATTGTCATAGGTATGAATTCAGACTGCTATATTAATAATCAGAGAAAATAGATTTTAGATAAAATTATAATCAAACATAAAACAGAGATCTCTACACAATTAGGTGAGTTTACTGGAAAAAAACAGCAAGAAAGTAATAGCATGCCTTTTACAAAAAAGCCATAATCTTAAAAATATATGAAGCTGGAAAACTATACTGTTCACCACTAAAAAGGGTTGAACTGTGCTCACTTTGATAGCACACACACTAAAACTGGAGTATACAGAAAGACTAGCATGAATTACCTGTGCAAGAATGACACTCAAAGCTGTGACACAGTCTACAAATCAGGAAGAAATGGACTACTGATACATACGCCACACAAAGGAACCTCGAAAACATGATGTAAGTTTAACAAAAGTCAGACACAAAGGCCATACATGTGGCATGATTCATTTGATATGAAATGTCTAGAAAAGGCAAATATCTAAAGACAGAAAGAAATTAGTAGTGGTCCAGGGCTCACAACAGAAACACCCGGATACACAGGGTCTTATCGGAATCATGGAAATATTTTTGACTAGATTATAATAGCTGACAACTCAGTGTATTACTAAAAAAAAAAATAGATGATTTTTATGGTATACAATATATAAACTATATCTCAATAGTTGTTTTAAAAAGCCAAAAAAATCATGAAAAAGAAAGACAGATGTTGAAGAAAAAATAAGATAATTCCACAATCATAGATTTAACATTGCTTTTTCTATCATTGATTTTAAAAAAAATACTAAGGGAAAAATCAAGAAGGGCAAAGCAGATCTGAACTGCCATCAAAACCAACTGACAGCCAGCCATCCACTATACCCAGCAATCACAGAGTACACACTCCTTTCAACTCACTGGTTCCCAGTGCACATTCACAATGTCTGCCCATATTTACTGCAGTCACATCCTGGGGGGTGACTCTGGCATTAGCAGGTAGAAGCCAGGGTGCTGTTAAACATCCTTTAAGTAATTACGCAGGGCAGCACCACTTAAACAACTATTGACCCTAAATGTTAACAGTTCCAAGGTTGAGGGAACCCACTTTCATGGCTACCACATCAGGCTAAGTGTTAGGACACCAGAAATATCACAATAAATTTCAAACAACTGAAATCATATAGAATATGTTCCCTAACCGCAATGTAATTAAATTAGAAACCAGTAACATTAAGATAGCTAAGAAAATCCCAAATATTTGAAAATTAAACAATATATTTCTAAGTTATGCATGAATCGAAGAAAACTATCACAACACCAATGAACTTATTTTGAACAAATAATGAAGAAAACATCAGAATTTGTGGCATGCAGCTAAAGCAGTGGCTTAAAGGGAAATTTATAGCTCTAAAATGTGTATATTAGTAAAAAAATATATTTTTACCACTTCTGTTAGCTTTAACTGCTGTATTACTAGTACCTAAAATAATTTCCAGCTTTAGTAAGTACCCACCAAATATTAAATGGATGAATGAAAAGTGAACAAGATTATGAATGACTTTCTTTTTGCATTATTCCTGAATCTGATCTTTTTAGTAACCCACAAGTATTATATATTTTAATTAGTGAAACTTTTTTTAAACCTAAATGGTTACTCTCTGGGAGAAAATGATATTGCCAACCAAAATCAAATTTTATTTAGATTGCTGAGATCAGATTCTGCTCAAGATCTTATACTTGAAGGGGGACAAAAACAAATGAACCAGAAAGATGTAAACCTAATTAACTGATTGCAGAAAGGTACAGTAACTTTTTCAGTTCCAAATGCAAACTGCTTCCAGAATTAAAGAGTGTGAGAAAGCACTCTCAGGTGAATCCTCGCTGCTAAGGTTATCAAAACAAGGCACAATAGTCTTCCAAAATCCATTTGGATAGTCATCCTCTGCCCCACACTGACACAGTCAAAATTGGTGAGTGATCAAGCAAATTTTTTTGCCTCTCTCTTCCAAGAAAGCTGCCAGGAGATAAAACCATTTTCTTCCCCCACACACGATCTCATTCTGGTCTAAGTGAAAATACAGCTTGTCTCCAAGGAAACATATATATCACCAAGGCTCCAATCCTCTCCACGAGTGCAGGCGACTTCTTATTCTTTCTTTGTCCCCAATGTTGGGCACGGAGTCACCCAAAACTCACTTAAGTAGAGTAGAAGAGCTCCTGCTTGCTCTTCGTTTTAAAACAATAAACAATTAAGTCAACCGGCATTAATACAGAGGGCGTTCATATAAATCATGAGTCTGTCAGGTTCCTGGTGATTAAAATCCTACTCGAATGTGTTCCTATAGCCCCCAAATCCTCTCCTGGGCCTCGTAGCACAGGTGAGACTGGACAGCAGCCCCATGATACCCAGACAGGAACTGAACTGGCTTAGAACAGAATCAAAATGGTGGGGTTCAGGCAGGGCAAGTGGCAGCCCACCAGCATGAGTGGCCTCTGACCCCTGCCGAAGAAGTGGTCCGGCCACACCACCCTGCCCACTCTTCTGTGTGAGGCGCTCACAAGCTCCACCAGAGCAATCTCAGGCTCTGCATAGAAGAACTGTGCCGCTGGTACTTAGTCAAGCTGTTCTTTAGACAGCCTGCTGGCTCCAGGAACAGAAACGTGTTTGGGGAGAAGCACTAAAAACCACAGATCTGCAGAGCGAAAATTCAGTTAGTTCAGTGGAAAAAGGGGGAAATTAACAACAACAAAATTAAGTTCCTACTGGCCCAGCGAATCTTATGAACCAAGCAAAGAACCACCAAGGGAGTGCTGAGGCTAGACTGGAAACTCCCCACGCCTCAATTCCGGAGCGCTTTTACCAAGGTTATCTGGGAAAGCTAGCACAGACCGACCCCTTAAAATAGTCTCTCTGAGTCTGCTGCAGAATGAAACTATTTGTCTCCATAAATCTCTCAGTTGACATTTGCACTGCAATCACAAGCAACATTTACAAAGGGTGAGACCCAGAAAAAAAAAAATCATTGTTTTCTGAAAGCATGAGGGCTGGCATAAGGAGTTTTCCACACAGGAGGGACCAGCAGTGGAGGCTGCCACAATGGCAAGGCTCCCCCAGGGGCTAATTTGCTGCTTAGGATCTAGTGCAGTTTAATCCCACTGTGAGGTTTCATGAACGCAGTTCTTGGAAACTCTGACTGAAGTGCTGTCTAAAGGCTTCCTGCCCTGGGCACAGGGTGTTACTCAAAGGGACCGGTGTTTCTCATCCTGTGAAGGAAAACGTTAATGTTGGGTCCTCTTTTACACTAAATTCTAGACAGTTTACAACCAAAAAAGCCTGCAGATATGTATTTTCTTAGAAAGTCTAGGGCTTTTTAACAACGGGAGCTTTCTAAAAATGGAGTGTGTGGCCTCAGGAGACTGAATTCTCTGTCCCTGGACAGTGTCCAGCAGATACTGGTGACCAACTGGCCAGGGCCTACAGCGGGGCGTGGCACAGTGCAGGAAGCACTAGATGGCTCCAGCCCATCACAGGAGCTGAGAAATGGAGGTGATCACCCAAGAAACTCCAGAAGAAAAACACTCTTGCTTAAAATCGTCTCATCATCTTGGGGCATAAAAATACGGGACTTTCAGAGTGTACCACTCTCCACAAAGATACATTCAAAACTCATGCTCTTTCCACACACCACGTGTATGTAAGCAGTTGGACATCCATTCCAACAAGTTGTCCAGTACCATGCAGAAGTTGCAGGGGACGTCTTAGGGCATGCAGGTACCATCCGTAGTAACCTTCCTGGAAATAACGCTTCGTAACAGTCTTCACAATACAAATATCTGTATTTGCTGCAATTAACTGACCTGCTTATAGACAAAAAAGACAGTGCAGCAGGGAAGGAGCCAACCACGTGAGCCTTCCCGGGAACCCTGGACGCTGGGCTAATGTCAGGGCTAGCCCAAAGGGCCGAGCGGCAGCACCGGCAGCAGGCCGCCAGGCTGTAGGCAGCGGGGTGACACCCCCAGTTTGGCTCCGGTGTCATAAGCTCCCCTGGGACTCCGCATTTCTTAGCAGTGTGCCATTGTAATTATACAACTAACTTACTCATTTTGTCAGTAATGTGTTTTTTATGCTGAGGGTTCTAGAGAGGCCAGGCTCTTACTGTATTCCCAGGGTTTATTCCTTTATTTGGGAGGAAAAAAAGCCAGTTCTTACTGAACTCCTTCATCCAGCCACTATATTGCCCACAGGAAAGTTGTTCAAAATGATGTTGCAAACAAGAAGGTGGGAAAATGAGAATGTTCATATGAAGGCTGTGCAAATTGGTGCAGTCATGTTAGGAGTCATATTTTTTTAGTGAGGTTAATGATAACCTCATATCACCTAACAAATCTACTTCTTTGTCTAGATCCTAGAAAAACTGGATGCACGAGCACACATTTTATGGACCAAAATGTCGTAGCAGGATGGTTTATTATTGTCTGAAATTGGAAACAACTAAATACACACCAACAGCACAATGGATTAGTGAATTATGGTCTATTCACTCAATGGAATACTGCAAAGAAAATGAATGAACTAAAGCATCACACAACCACACAAAAGAATCTCACAAGGGATGATGAGCAAAAGAAACACAGAAAGCACATATTTTATGGGGCCAATTCTAAAAATCAGAAACAAATCACACTGAACTATATGTTTAGGTGGTAAGGCTCAACCAAATATTCAAAGAACTGATGAAAAGTTACACAAACTCTTCCAAAGAAACAAACAGGAAGTCACATGGAAGAAGCAAGAGAAAAAGAAACCCAGTAGGAAGTTACTGTGGTGGCGGAGATGGGAGCACCAGGCAAGGGCTGATGGTGCCCTGCACCAGGGAGGCGCAGCGGGCTGCAGGGAGTCAAAAGAGCAAAGAGACAGGCAGGACTTGTTGCTGCGATAGAGCCCAGGAGTCAGGTCACGATGGCGCCAAGGAATCCTCTCTCGATATAAAAAAGAAAAAACCAAGGACAAATTTGAAAATTATAATATTTACAATACAGCCCTAGTTTTGATGTTGAGAGATACATAAATCTATTCTAAAAATAAACTTGAGTATCAAAAGGAATCAAAACTGCAATAGATGAAAAGACATGGAACGTTAAAATTCATGCGTTCACCAGGAAGCAATAATACAAAAGAAGGAAAAAGCGATAATGTGTTCTAAAGGCTTTGGCACTGTTGGGAAAACGGCAAAAAATAATTAAGACAAGGAAGCATATGATAATCTCTAGAGCACTCCCAAAAAGAGTCAAACTAACAATATAATAAATGACATATCCAGTGAGAAACAGCAGGACTTTCAGCCATCATATAACAAGGCTACTCAGTTAAAATCACATCCACTGAGCCAAGATGACACCCTGAACCATGCTCTGGAGAACAAGAATCTTTGAAATCAACCAACACTGGCACTGGCACCTACCACATGACAGACTCATCCCAACACACAAGCTCCCCACTCCTACGACAGCACTGTAAGGGGCTCCTAGCTGCAGCAGAGTCAGGAAGCAGGCCTGTCCCCTGAATTCAGTTCACCATACCACATCCTTTAAGTTGGAGCAATGGTCTGTTCTAAGTCTCACAGGACCTCCTGGTGACCAAAATCTTTTCAAGATAAACTGATGGAGATCCAGTTCAGTACGTGGATCCTACACATTCGCCCCTGTGCAAACCTTGTAACACTCAGCCATTTGAGACATGCTGGAGGAGGACGTGCTTCCAAGAGTTTGCCCTGGGATCCGCCCATAAAAAAATTGTCTGCATGTTAAAGACAAATGTTATAATGCCACATTATACTCTCGTGCAAGAAAAACAGCTATGACCGACTGTATGAAGGCCTTCTCAGCACTTACAGTTTCACAGTTCAAGCATCGAGTTTCATTGGTGAGCGTTCCCTGAAAAATCTCGTGGACCCAGGTGAGTTCTGGTTTATTATTCTCCGCAGGTTCGTTCATGTTGCCATTTTTTAATTTTCCGTTTTGCTTTTCCTGTTTCTTCTCTTCCTGCAGGATGTCCGCAATAGTGTTTAGCAAATAATTTAAAAATTCGTGCGCATCCTGCTGCATGTAGTTATCAAAGAGATCTGAAAAGAAGAAGGTCAGTATTTCAATGTCTGGTTCTTGAAAAACAAATTAAAATGCTGTTCTGCATGCCGCATTTCAGTTCTTATACTGAGAGAGTTGACAGGCTTGGCACATAATCATCACTATTTTGCATCTTCAGTTGGTAACTTTTAAAAGAACTTTTGTTCATTTCCATTTCCTACCACCCAGGAGGACTAAATTTTCCATATTACCTTGAAGTCATCATGAAGACAAAACAGTACTGAAATTTTTGTCCCACACAAAAAAATTATATATATATATGTATTTATGTGTGTGTGTATATATATATATATATGCACATATATATAAAAGAATACAATGTCTTGATAAATTCCCTGATAAAATATCAGTATTTAATATGACATGACCACAAATTATCAATTATTCACTTGGTAATTTATCTAGAGCAATTGGGGCCCCTTCCCAAAGATCATATTAAACTCTGGAGTGGGCTGGAAGCAGCTTAAATGAACCACATAAGGGAGAGGAGACACGCACGTGAGAACATGTCTATCTGATGGAGTTCTGAAACCGGATACGTCACAGAAGCCTATGCTGTTCACTGCCATCAGGACAATCAAGAGATGAATGAGGCTGTGAAACCTCATTATTAATCACATTCACAAGGAGACTTGGGAGTGCTCTGTTTCCTTCTTGAATTATTTTGATTCTGGTATGTATAAACTAAAGCAACATTAAAAGACAACAATCAAATTAAATGAGACTTTATAAAATAAACATCTGATTAACTGTACAATTCTGTTAAGTAAGGTTGAAATCTAGGGTAAACAGAAGTAACAATAGCAAATATTTCTACAATCATAAAAATGACTAATACAGAACTTCTAGGATAATCTAGTTTCTACCAGCACTTCCCTTGAAAATAAGATAAAAAAAATCAGGGGGAGAAATGGATATAGTTATTATATAAAGGTATCAATTTCATATCCTCCAATTGTCTTTAGCAAATAAAAATCAAAGATATTTTTAAAACAGCACAGACTCAGATTAGATAGGATGTATTTATTCTAATCACTTATGACAGGTTTATAAAACATTATTTTGCCCCTTTATTGCATCAACCTATTTATTATATCCTGCTCAGAAGGGCTCTCTTGAGCAATTTCTGCTCTCACAAAGATCCTACCCAGAAAAAAAAATCCATGTGAAGCAAATAAAAGATCATTAAAAAAATAATAATAATAACAAAACAAGATAATAAATCTAAATTTCAATCTTTTTTTTTTTTTTATCCAGTTCTATTTTATGTCTACTGGGTGGGAAAGGTGAGGTATCTTTTCTTTAAAAGAATATTATTTGGGGGCCTCTCTGTTGGTACAGGAGTTAAAGTTTCAGCATTGTGAAGCTAGTACCAGCTGTTGTGGCATGAATTCGATCCCCAGCCAGGGAGCTAAGCCATAAAGCGCAGCAGACCGCTCCTGTCTCACCTGCTGCTCCCCTCAGCAGTGTATTTCAGTAGATCTGCCTGTTCTGCTCCCCACTCTGTCTCTGGTGAATTGGCCTACACCCCAGTTCCTGTCTGCATAAATAAATAAAAACAAATCTTTAAAAATATCTATTATTTGCATACTGAGCCATGCTATTTTCCCTGCCAAGTGCCAGGTTCCTTTTGAGGATGTACAGTCAATTCTCTGTATTTCAGAACACTCGATACATTAATTACCACACTACTCACCATTTTCTTTCCTCAGCCTAGAGATGAACTTCTTTGGTGGGATCACGCCAACCTTCTTTTTCTGTGTGGCAATGCTGTGGAAGAGGTCTGCCAGGCACGTCAGCAGGTTTTCCTTCTTTTTTTGCTGGGCCTTGTATGCCAGCACATTCTCCCGGAACGGCCGGCAGAAGTACAGCGCCTGGAGCACGGAGTTACAGTAGCACGTGTTTCCAAACTGCCAAAGGACAACAGTGGGGGTTCAGCTCTTGGCCCAGACCCGCCATCCCTGTCTCCAGTAGGGAGGGGGAAGGCCGCCCTCTGCCAGCCGCCCGGGTCTCCCGGTAGCGGGGTTGCTCCCGCACATGAGGAGACTACTCTGGACACCAGTGACTAGCTCACCAACAGGGAAATGAACACAAATTTACATAAGCCTGGTGCTGCTCTAGCCCAGAAGAGTCCCCAAAGTGCTTCTTCACAAGTCCTCTGCCTTCATTAAGGGAAAGTAAAAATCTGAGGAGACCTTCTGGCGTGGAAGACACAGGAAACAAATCTATATAATATGAAGACCCAGAAAAGCCGGTTGGTTAAATGAAAGATGCGACACTACAACAGATCCAAACTTCCAAGACATGGAAAGTAAAGACCCAAGTCTGAAAGTCATCCAGGAGCCACTGCTCAGCTGCAGGAAGCTCCTTCACTGGGCGAAGACTTCTTCCATATTTCTCTCTCAGGGCTCCCTGGCCCCCAGCTCTAGACCACATTTCCTCATGACTCCGGAGTGACAGAGGCGAAGAAGTGCCTTGTTATGTCATCCCCTTGCGGCTCAAAATTACTCTGCAGCATTGTTTCTGCCAAAGTGGCAACTGTCCCATTATAATACTGCCCAGGCCGCGTCCCCACCCCCCCCCCCCAAACACACACACAAGTCAGATGAGAGCCCATTGAATTATATTCCGCTCTTCTCAAAACCCACGAAGACTCAGATAATGTCAAGGGGGAAAAGTCTTCATCTCACTAGTTTCAACGAACTGTAAAGCCAACTCTGGGAAAACAGAGCTGAGGCCATGGCTTTAGACTTTTTCAAACACACTAAGATGAAAAGGAGTTAATAACAGATAATAACAGATGAATAGCAGATCACAAAATACTGTGCAAGATTAAAATAGGGCATGAACATCTTCTCAGGATCGGCTGTTGGCTTGTGTGCTGCTTACCCTGGAGCAAGGCAGATGCTGCGCCATACTTAACGCGACATTTCCACGTATGCTAAGATAGAACGTTTCCTATTTTTACATATATTCCTCCACTTTGACACAATTATGTAAGAGGAGACAAACCTCTTTACAGAGACGCTGCAACTTTGATGAGCGGCTATCTGAAGTAAACACAAATGAAACTATTAATAAACTCAGCTTTCACAAAGCTTCTACAAACTAGGAAATAGTCTTAGTTCCTTCTCCATCTGCATTTGGACTAGCCAGGGCAGAATTCCCACAACTTGAGTAACTGTCTTCACCTAGCTCAAGCAAGGGGGCTGTGCACAATGTCAAAAATAAATGAGTAAACAGATAGAGATGATAGATATAGATAGATATATAGATAAGACAGACAGACAGATAGAATCCCCAACACTCGAGCCTTTCTTCATCCATTCTTTTCTCTTGTACTCAATGTCTCACTTTCAACCAGAGCCCCAGTGGGTCAAGGACAAATCCTGGGGGAGACAAGGAACTAACATTTCCTGAGCATACGAGTGTCTCAGCCTCCGGTCAAGGCCTTCAGCAGGAGCTTGAGTTTAACCATCACTAGAATCCAAGAGGCACAACGGTGAAGATCCCCACTCTGTCAGAGAAGTCAAGTGACTTGCCAGGCTGGAAGGCCGAGCTACTGAGCACGTGCCAGTCAGGTGTGTAAAGGATACCCCGTAAAGCTCAGGGGAGAGGAACTGTGACCCAACAACATAGTCAGAAACCTTTTTCTGAAACTATTGATTCTTTCAAACCTGGACTAAATTCTCCTTCTCCCAAACATCTGTCACTCCTAATAACAAAAGAGCGTACAAAATTGGACCTTATTTAAAAATTGGAGATGATCAGGGGTCTCCCTGGTGATGCAATGGGTTAAAGCACCGCATTATGAAGCTCCCCGAAGCCACTGCGACACGAGTTCAATCCCCGGCCAGGGAGCTGACCCACATGGCGAGGCAGACCTCTCCTGACTCGCCTGCTGCTCCCCTCAGCAGTGTACAGTCAATCTGCCTGTTCTGCTCCCCACTCTGTCTCTGGTGAATGCTCTCATCCACCACACCTCTGGCCTGTACCCCAGTTCTGTAAACATAAGTAAATAAAATCTTTAAAAAAATATTGGAGATGATCAAAGTGGCCGTGGAATTGCTTGAGGGACTCAAAACCATTTGATAAAACGGTACATTTTTAAATACTTACATTGACCAATCCGAAGTAGTGTTCATTGATTGGAAACTGCTCTGGACCAATGTCTTTTTCCAGAGCAGAGGCATTGGTGCCCTAAAAGAGAAAAATAACAGAAGTCTGTTGTGCATGAGATAGACATGAAGGTAAAAATGATACTTGGGACAAGCATCCCGCGGGTGGCCAGTGGTGATGTTCGCGCTGGAAGTCAAGGTGTCAGGCACAACTGGTCACCGCGTGCACAGTGAACAACAGCCTCACCGTCTCTCCTACTTAAACTTCCCCCACAGTTTGTGCTACTCGGCTTCAATCACCTCCCCCTGGGGAAGGAGGCTTCAGACAAGCAAATGAGCAACTATCACTGACAACTGAATAAAACTATGTTAAGCTCAGACAGCTGCAGCAGCTTCTATGCTACTCAGTGGTGCAGAGAACCCTATCACCACTTTAGAAGTCAGTTTCTCCATTCTGAAGAGCTGTGTTGTACCCCCATCTGCTAGGGGATATCCCAGGTGCTGGCAACGGAACAGAGAACCAGACAGGCTCCATGCCTGCTCTCATGGCCTTTGTATTTTCACAGATGAAAACAGCCTGAGAGAACACTGGACAGATGTGAGAGGGTCGCAAGGAGAGTGGAGAAAAATACAGAAGGAATAAGGGTGGGGCCTCCAGGAGAGGGAGAGCTAGAGGCTCGACTATTGCAGCTTTAAGTAGGGTGGTCACAGAAGGCCTTACCGCAAGTGGGAAATGTTCAAGCAACAGTGTGAGTGATGGAGAGAGACAAAATTTAAAACCTAACAAATCCACCAAGGTAAAGATAACAAGGACAGTTATCAGGTACCTTAGCATTCACCAGGGACTGAACTCTATTCTCACACCAAGCCTGGTTATCCCCATGTAACAGTGGGGAGGCGGAAGAGCTGGGACCCAGGAGTCGGATGTGGGAGCCCCGCTCTCAGCCACGTGCTACATGGAGCCATCAGATCAAGTTTACTGCGCCCCACGGACAGCCAGTGGTGCCGGCTACAGCATACTGCATTATGATCCCCTCCCCAAGTGCGGACGGGTGTGCTGGGGCTCAGGAAAGTGACCAAAGGGCCAGTGCAACACGTAAGTCCTCTGCCGGGTGGGCAGGGCCAGGCCCCTCGGGTACCGCGGCTCCATCACGGCGCTACGGCGTCAGTCCACAGCCATCGCACCCTCCGGCTGGCACACAAGGCGCACAGCATGTCAAAGACTTGGGAGATGAGTATATTTAAAACAATTCTTTCAAAAATAAATCTCTACTTGGCTCATAATTAGCATCTCCTGCATATCAGGAAGAAATGGCCAAAAAAGTGGGCTAGGATCAATAAAAATAGTCACACATCAAGCAAACAATACAGAATAACCCAATTCTGTGAAAACAGAACCAGAGCAGAAATGGTACATGCACCCCCACCCCCACCACCCCCACCCCCCGATAATAACAGCTTTTGTTGCCACTTTTCTTCTAGGTTCATTATATTTTTCCTCTACACATCATCTGGATTTGGAGTTCAGGGATCATCTCTGCGTAACACAGCTTCACCACCTTCAACTGGGTTGGGGGTGGGGGGGACTTTCATTGCCCTCACAGTAATGCAACCCCAAGACCAGCCTAGAAGCTTTTAGGTAATACCAGGTTCCAGGAGACGTTATGGCATGCACAAAAAGTCACGAAAAATTTTCCATAAAGCTACATCGCAATCATGAATCAATGTAAATAATGCATATTAAATATACCCAGAGTCATTTCTGTACATCTGAATATACAGCTTAGAGCCCAGGAGGAATTTCAGACATAAAAGTTCAGTAGATTAGACAGAAATCGTTAAGTTCCTCTTTACGAGGCAGCTATATAATCAAGCTAGTACGTGACGTTTGCTGTTTGAGAACTCTTAGATTGAGTCTGCTTTTTTCTACTTGATATTTTCCTTGGGAGTAGGTGGTGACTCATAGTAAGGACAGTGACCCAGGGGCAGAGGTTTGCAGAAACACCGGATGAAAGGCAAGGACTAAGGGGTGTGCCCACACGGGAGACCCAGCACGCAGCGGAGAGGGGAGAGGGTGGACTTGGTGAAGCCAACTCCTCTCTGGGGTCAGCCTGTGCTCACCACAATTCAGGCCAAGCTTGCCCATCTTCCTGCTCGGCACCTGCACACACCTGCCAGAAGGGTCTAGAGCTACTACTGAACACTGCACCTTCACCCTCTTGTCTAAGCGTCTGCCCTTGGGAGGCATGAGCTACCCAGCACCCCTTCCTTGCCTCTTCTTGGCTGACCCCCTCTGCCCCCCACCCCTCACAGAAGATCTACATTTATACTCTAACCCCTGCAAACACCCCGGCGGTTTCCAGAGCCACATCTTACTCAATCATGTTTTTATGCCCTCCCCTTCGGCCATCCTCTGCCAAAGACGCACGCTGGACCCCAACACCACTCTCACGTCCACCCAGGCCGAGCATGGTTGCTCCCCACCCCGCTCACTGCCCCCTCACTGGCCTTTTCACACCTCCACTTTCTTACTTGGCTTGGAGTCCACAAGCCACAAATCCAATTGTTCTTGTAAACACCCCTTACTCTGTTCTCGACCAAAAAAAAAATCAACCCATTCTGAACCAAATGATCCACCTTCTTCCAACAAACACCCAGACA